CTTGTCATTGCCCATTTTAAAGGCCAGCTCTTGCCTTGAGGAGTGTCCACATTTGTTCTTTTTCTTTCACTGTCTTCTTTTGAACTGGGTTCCCTAATTGTTGTTTTAAAAGGACACCCTTGGGGTGCCTGGGTGGCTCAGTTGGTTAAGCGTCTGGTTTCGGCTCAGGTCGTGATCTTGGAGGTCATGATCTCAGGGTTATGAGATCAAGCCCCTTGTTGGGTGCCACAGTGAGTGTGGCGCCTGCTTAGGATTCTCTCTCTTCTTCTGTTTTCCCCTCCCCAGCCCCAATACCCACTTACACTCTTGCTCTCTATCTCTCTAAAAAAATAAAATAAGAGGGCACTCTCACAAGGACCTTAGTGTAGAGCGGCCATGGGCATTGTGAATACCAGCATTTATCCTTGGGATACATTTCTTCTGGGCTTCCTCCAAGAGCGGTTACAGTAGCCTTCCCTTCTTCCTGGCCCCGGTGCTGCCCTCAGCACAAGGCTGCTACCCCGAGAGACAGGGGCACACAGAGTTAGGGGCTTAGCTGAACCCCTCTTGGTAGGTGTTTTCATTTTTGGTGACTGGAAGAACAAGGCTGACTGCATAGGATACTGAATATCTCCTAGGATGTGGACTCTGGGGGCAGGGGCATCAAGGTGAGAAGGCACAGAAATCATGAAACCTCCAATGTGAGAGTCTAGTTTCTGTGGTTTGTACTGTCCCGACTGTAGAAGCAGAGAAGGTAGCCAGTGACACCATTAGGGATTACTTTTGGGCGATTCAGAGTCTCTGGCTCCCAGGGTGGTGTGTGAGGCTTTGAAAGAGCTGAAACACCCCCCCACACACACACCGGTCTACACTCAGAGAGGGAGTCCCTGTGGCTTGGAGGGAGCGTGGTAAAGACGGATTGATGGGTGCTGTTGGGGGTTAGGAGTTTCAAAGATGGGGATTTCAATGATGTTTCAATGATGAGGATCAGGGGTGAGCCATGAAAGGGGAAGCTCGTAAGCCTGGTATGGGAGGCAGCTTGGTGTGTGGGAAGAGCCCAGGTTTGCTGTTTGATGGATCTGGGCTGAAATCCCAGCTCAACCAGTTCCTGTCTGTGTGGTCTTGGGCAAAGTAATTAATTTTTCTGAATCTTAGTTTTATCAGGTGAAAATGGGAGTAATAATTTCTGCTTCATATATGTGTTTTTAAGATTAAAGGAAATACACGGGTGCCTGGGTGCCTCAATCAGTTAAGCGTCTGACTCCTGATTTCAGCTCACATCATGATATCAGGGTCTTGAGATTGAGATCTGTGTCGGGCTCTGTGCTTAGCAGAGTCAGCTTAAGATTCTCTTCCTCTCCCTCTGCCCTCCTGCTTGTTTGTGCTCGAATGCTCTCTGTTTCTCTCTCTCTCTCTTTCTCTCTCAAATAAATAAATAAATAAATAAATAAATCTTTAAAAAAAGATTAAATGAAATACATGTTCTAAAGGTACACCCGCCTAAGAGCTTGGTGCCTAGGGTCTTAATTAACAAGTATGAATTCCCTTCATGTGTGGGAAGGATAGCTCCAGGGGGAGTTGCCGGGGATGGATCTGTGTCCAGAGACAAGGCACTGGTAACTTTCTTTGAAGGTGGGTGATGCAGAGAAAAGACCAGAACAGGCAGGCTGCAGGTTTCCTTCAAGGGAGCCTTCTGATAAGATAAGAAAGAATGAAAAGAAATTTAAAGAATGCTGGAAATATCTTTAAGGAGTGGGTCCTCTGCACTGGTGGAATGTTGGGGAAGACTGAGGAGATGGTGGGTGCAGGGAACAAACATGGTGTGCGTGTGTACTCTGGATGGGCAGGGACAGGGTGAGTGGCAGTAGCCTGCAGTGGCTGGTGTATAGAAAACAGGATGACAGGATTGTGGCGCACAAGACGGGGGGAGGTGCAGGAGGGACAGAATCAGGAACATGGGGGTTGATACAGTGACCAGGAAGAGAGGCCCGGCTGCCAGGCTGTGAGATGGAGATGACAGTTTGCGCCTCAGAACTGTGCACACAGGAGTGTGTTGGGGTTCTCCATTTGGAGCATTGGCTGAGGGCTTGCCCCTTTGAGGTGCTAAGTGTTTTTCTCACTAGAGCAGACCTTCCAGAAGGCTCAGAGTTGCAGACCCTGGCAGGTCCACCTCTTCCCTGTGTCACGCCTCTCTTCTGCCCTCACTGAGAGCCTTAGCAGGAGCCTGTTTTTTCAGGAGCCGGTGACCTTTGAGGATGTGGCCGTGTACTTCACCCAGAATCAGTGGGCCAACCTGGACCCCACACAGAGGGCTTTGTACCGGGAGGTGATGCTGGAGAATTATGCGAATGTGGCTTCGCTGGGTAAGGACTCTTGCCCTGGTCCTTTGTGATAGTTTGACGTCTTCCTAAGACGTTTTGGGGCTTCTAGAAGTCGTTAGGTTAGATGACCCCAGAGGCTAGTTCTGTAGTTGCCAGTCTCTGGAGATGTTGGCTGAGGAAATCCCTGATTCTCTCTGGTTTTGAAATCAGACTTCCCTACATTCTGGGAAGGGGCTGGTTCTGGGCCCTGAGGGAGAGGCCGCTTCCTGATGCACTAGGTTCCTCCATGCTGCCAGTGTTCTGGAGATGTGGGTCCTCCCCCCATGGGAATCAATACCTATGCTCTTCCTGGGGATCTCTTCCTTTAGGTCAGGGTGAGACTGCAGTTTCTTCCTGAGGACAATGGCTATCTCCTTGGCCTTGCCTTGGAGCATGGTTTGAAGTTCTTCCTTAGAACCCCTTGATAGCTCACTTGGTCTCCTGGGCATTTCATCCCATCCCTTCCTCCCTCCCTGTGTCAGCCTGTTGTGAGGTGGGCCTAGCGAGATCTCACAAAAGCTCTGGAAGTCTTCCCTCAACTTGTTTTTCCTTTTTCTTGCTTGAGTAGCGTTTCCATTCCCCAAACCTGATCTGATCTCCCAGCTGGAGAGCGGTGAAGCACCATGGGGCCCAGATCCCTGGGAAGCAGAGCTTTTGAGAGACATCTGTCCAGGTGAGTAAGAGAACCTAATGGTTTCTGGTTTTGCCTTCCCAGTTTATTAGAAGTGTTTCTTTTGTAGCAGAGAAGCCATTTATAAGGCAATACTCAGTGCGACTCTCTGACTCTCTGACCTCTGACTTCCAGCCCTGAGCCTGGGAAGACCAGTCCCCAGGAGTGTGTGGCCACTCAACTCCCACAGAAAAGCTCTGACCCAGTAGCTCTTAAACTACTTCTTTTCTCAACAGTGGAAATACTTAATTTTAAACCAGCTTTATGCAAAGGAGTGGGTTTCAGCCATACTTTGAGGAAAGCATGATTCTGTGGGTCAGACTGAGTTATTTGTGCCACATCTGTGAATGTTGTTTTTAGGTCTTTAGCAATGAAATAAATGCCTTTAATTTGCCTTTTTAGTATTTAAGTCACTGACAAGTTCTATATGCCAGAATCCTTAGGTCTATATTATATTTGTCTTATATACAGCTGTAGAGGGAGAGGCAGGGGCTGTTGTCCTACCACTGCACCCAACACACACACACACAGACCCCAGCACACACACACACATGCATGCACACACACACACACCAACACACACATGCACACATGAACACATATGCACACACACCCAACACACACAGCGTAAAATTTCCCGGAGACTGCTCACCAGTCGTGGGAGCTCTTGATTCCCTGGGTTTTCTTCTTTTTGGAGAAAGTTCCCATAAATGCTGTGATTTTGTAAATTGTAGTTCTTTTAGCAGAAATATGCCTGTGGCCTACAGCTCTCCAGTTCAATTTGTGTTCTAGCTGATTTCCTGAAAGAATCTTTTATCCCAGAAGATTATGTGGAAGGTTACTTATTTGTTTATTTTAGGATTTATTTATTTTAGAGGGGGGCCTGGGTGGCTCAGTCGTTGAGCGTCTGCCTTCAGCTCAGGTCATTATCCCAGTGTCCTGGGATCGAGCCCAATACTGGGCTCCCTGCTCGGCGGGAAGCGTGCTTCTCCCTGTCCAGCTCCCCCATAGTTGTGTTTCCTCTCTCACTGTGTCTGTCATAAATAAAATCTTTAAAAAAACAATAATAAGATTTATTTATTTTAGAGAGAGAGAGAGAGGATGAGGGGGGAGAGAATCCTAAAGTAGACTCCATGCTGGGCACAGAGCGTGAGGCAGGGCTTGATCCCACAACCCAGAGATCAGACCTGAGCAGAAATCAAGAGTTGGACACTTTTAACCGACTGTGCCACCCAGGCGCCCCATGTGGAATATTTAAGAATAGAATCATTGGGCCATTATTTGGAATTTAGGATGGTTTTCTGGCTTGCAGGAGGGGACATTGAAATGAAGTGTTTTTGAGTTTGGTTTGCAGATTGCAAGACCCCTGCTAATGTGAGAGCTTTCCGACTCTTCTCCCTAAGAGCACGAATTTCCTTCCCTTTTTGGGGTCTCTTTATCTCTTTCTCAAAAATTTTCCATTTCTTGCTGATCCTCTTACCTTTCACATCTTTTTTCTCTTTTCCCTCCCTCCTGCCTTTTTCCCTTTCCATTCTGGAAGGTCTCATTGTGCTCCTTTGACTTGTCTTAGTCCACTTCCCAGCCTTCCTCATAGGGGGCACTTCCCGCAGTTTCCAGTGCCATCCACCCTCCAGTTAGTAGATTATCATTTTTCTTTCTCTCTCTTATCCTTCTGTAGGGATGCCTGTAGCCACTTTCTGAGTGTGTTTTTCAAAATCAGATTCTGTAAGAGAAAACAGGAGCCCTGGATCCTGTTGCCCTCCCAGCTCAGTAACTCCGAACACTTGTGGTTTCTTTGGACAGGTGGTGAGTCCTGGATCAAGGAGGAGGAACCAGCTGCAAAGCAGGAAGCCTCCGAGCAGGCAGAATTGTCCAGAATGCCTGGAGGAGGACTGCTCAGAAACGTCTCCCAGCACTTTGACTTTAAAAGCAAGGCGACATGGCAGACTTTCAGTCTGAATCCGAATCTGATACTTCGGGGTGGAATGAAGTTCTACGAATGTAAAGAATGTGGGAAAATCTTCAGATATAACTCAAAGCTGCTTCGGCACCAGATGAGTCACACTGGGGAGAAGCCCTTCAAATGTAAGGAGTGTGGTAAAGCTTTTAAGTCCAGCTATGACTGCATCGTACACGAGAAGAACCACATTGGAGAAGGGCCCTACGAATGTAAGGAGTGTGGCAAAGGTTTGAGTTCTAACACGGCCTTGACTCAGCACCAGAGGATCCACACTGGAGAGAAGCCGTACGAATGTAAGGAGTGTGGGAAGGCCTTCCGAAGGAGCGCAGCCTATCTTCAGCATCAGAGACTGCACACGGGAGAGAAGCTCTATAAATGCAAGGAATGTTGGAAAGCTTTTGGGTGTAGGTCACTTTTTATTGTCCATCAGAGGATTCATACAGGGGAGAAGCCCTACCAGTGCAAGGAGTGTGGCAAAGCTTTTACTCAGAAGATAGCTTCCATCCAGCATCAGAGAGTGCACACCGGCGAGAAGCCCTATGAGTGCAAGGTGTGTGGGAAAGCATTCAAATGGTATGGCAGCTTTGTTCAGCACCAGAAATTGCACCCTGTGGAAAAGAAGCCCGCCAAGGTTCTTGGGCCATCCCTGATGAGTCCCCCGTGCGCCTCTTCAGCCTTCTCTGCCATTCCTGTCCAGGGCCCATGCTCTGCTGCCACAGTGGCCGTGCCTTCACTGACCTTTCCACATGCTGTGCTCATTCCTACCTCCGGGCCTTTGTTTATGCTGCTGCCTGCACCTGGAATGCCTTCTTCACCTGTCCAAATAGTGCGTGTCTTCCAGGGCCTTCCTTCCACTGTGAAGCCATTGCCGGTTATTCTGGCCCCTTCCCCTCACACCTCATGAACTTTATCTCAGCACTCTTCTGGCTCTTTGGCCCAGCGGACCTTCAGCTTCACTTGAGTTTCATTTGTATATGTGTTTTTGTTTTTGTTTTTGTTTTACTTTACATGCATTACAATTGTTTCAGCATAAACTCCATTATAATCTATATTATATGGGAAGACTGTGTTTCTGTATTTTCTATCAGGTAGAAAGTGAAACTACCTGACTTTTGCACTGGTCTCTTTCAGGCTTGAACAGTAATGGCTGTATCTGCCCTGTGGGGGCGGGGGTGTTGGAAGTGCTGGCAGGACACCTGGTTGCATTCGAGTGTCTGGGAGTGAGGCCGCCCCTGTGCTGGGCCATTATGGTTAGAGCCAAGTGGCTTGGGGGAAGCAGATGAGGGCGCAGGAACTGAGGGCGGATGGGGGGGAGCGGGGAAGCACTGAAATCCCCTTCCAGCCACAGACTCAGAAATTAATGCAGCTTGTTCAGTGGGCTAAGGCGGTCGGTCCATCAACACAAAGGAAGTCATGTTGCCCTTGGCATGGATCACTGGGGATCTCCTATGTCTATGCAAAAGATCATGTGAAATAACCAATGAAAACCTAATGTGTGCAGTGATCACAGTCATTTATGTGATTGATAGCAATCATGTCTGTAAACACAAAGTGTGTTTTGTGGTTTTTTTCTTTAGTTTTGCCCTTGGTGTCTAGATAGTTCTCTTTAACTTTGGTTTCCTAAGTAAATACACACCAAAGTACTCATCTTTGTTCCTCGTGTTGTGTACATTTTTCTCCATGGCGTTCTGTTGGCAAGCATTGGCTTCTGCGTTTTATGTTCTCCAGATAGCATGAACTGCAAACATGCATTTGGTGAATTATGAAAGAAATAGCGTCAGTGTTAAGCGAGCTTGGGGGAAATCTGAATAAGTCTCCTAAAGTATTTTTTAGGAACAGAGGGAGCTGTGTGGTGGGTCAGTGGTTAAACTTCTGTGCTAGGTCAGTGAAGTGGAATTTTGGATTGCTCTTAGGTTTGACCTTGATGGGGATCTTTTACAGCTCCGTGGAGGACTATGTGAAGCAATTTCTGGAAAAGAATTATTGGCATTAATATAAAGTAACTCCTTAAACATTGATGAAAGGGGCCATATGTTTTATTCTTCTAAGTTTTTTTTTTTTAAGATTTTATTTATTTGACAGAGATCACAAGTAGGCAGAGAGGCAGGCAGAGAGAGGAGGAAGCAGGCTCCCCGCCGAGCGGAGAGCCCAATGTGGGACTCGATCCCAGGACTCTGGGATCATGACCCGAGCTGAAGGCAGAGGCTTTAACCCACTGAGCCACCCAGGCACCCCCTAAGTTGCTTTTGCTACCTAGATGTTTCTCCACGGCAGTTCACAGAAAAACCTTTAAATTAGTGGTTCTTTTCTTACACTTTTCCTGTGTGTCTGAATAACCTGGTCTGAGAAGAGTAATTTTCTGGCCTAACTCCCAGAACTTCAGTTTTTGGTTATCTGTGGTGATGGCTAGACATACAGTGAGAGAGAAGCCCTGAGCACAAAGTGCTGTGGGCTGTTGGAGATGTGTGTGGATACAGGGTTTGGGAGGGACTGCCTTCCTGCATGGTGGGCCTTCAAGACAGAGACCTCTAAGAGCAGGGTGGATGGCTTTGGTTTAGAAGAAGAGAGAAAAGCAATGAAAACATGGCAGGTAGAGAACAAAAGAAAGGGGCAAAGAGGTCTGAGGTGGCCATGAGGTGTTCTAAAGGTCTCCACTGCCAGTGGCTTGGGGGTTGACATTGGCTACCTTTTGCTATTTGCTTGTTGGCTAAAATAATGAAGAAATCTATTCGTATTAGTTAATACCCCTCCAAGGAACTCTTGGGTTAAAGTGAGTACAAATGGTGCTTGGGTGCTGTGGGTGATCGAGAACTGAACAACGGTAAGAACAGTATGCAGCATGGGCTGGAGTATGGCAAAATGCGGTTCTCAGAGCAATATTGACAGACTTGGATGCATCCTTTAGAAAATGAGCTTAAGCCTTGCAGTTCAGCAAGTGAGGGATGGTGTCTAGTTGTGGGAAACAAATTAACCACAAACTAAAGAAAACAAACAGATCAGAGAAAATTGAAAACACAGTTGGCAAAAACAAGATAATGCCACGGAGTGTTTGGGGAAAATGGTGGTTGGACATGTTAACACTCATGCCCTCCTGAAACCCCACTAAAACAGCAAGAGATTAAAAATTAAAAGGCACCAACTTACAAGGACAAGGAAAATATGATGGGAAGAGCTTGGAAGCTGGAAGATGGGTGAAGAGTTAGAACTTTGAATAGCTCCTGGGGGAAGCTGAGCTGCCTATGTGGCAGATTTCCCACAGAGGCTTAGGAGTTGAAGATGTAGGTTTCTGTGGAGGATGTAGAGGATGCTGGTGGAGCTAAACACAAGAGAATTTTCTAAGTTTTTACGAAGCATTTAGAGTCTCAGTTCACCTCCCCTAGCACTCTGTTCACTGGAGCAGTAAAACAGGAGTTTTGGAGGTCAGGGGTACCATGCTGAACATCAGGTCCTTCTCTCTCACCCTCTAGCCTTCTGCCCCTACTTCTCTTCCAGAATGCTGCCAGCTAGACTTGTGTACCTTCTCAGCTAGAAGTCAGAAGAACTTTCCTTGGGAGAGCAGGTGAATCAAGAGAAAAGACAGATAATACATCTCAGATTCCTCAATGAAATGGCTCTCCAGGAATCTTCCAACTGTGCACATAGAGCTTCTTAGCCAGGCCACACCCCACCACCCCCCTCACCTTAGCCAGCCTTTTATTATTTTAATTAAAAAATTTTAAAAAAAGATTTTATTTTGTGAGAGCATGCAGACAATGGGGGAGGGACAGAGGAAGAGGGAGAGAGAGAATCCAAAGCAGATTCCCTGCTGAGTGCCAGGCCCTATGTGGGGCTGGACACCAGCATCTGACCCAAAATCAAGAGTTGGGACGCTCAGACTGCGGAGCCACCCAGGTGTCCCTCCCTTAGCCAGCCTTTTAATGCTCCATTCTTAGATATAAACAAATAGCCAAGGATATGCAGGAGGCTGGAACAAGAAAAAAGAAAGCCCACTTGAAAGAAACTATGGCAGGAAGAATTTATTTTGAGGTTAGAGAAGAGGTTCACATCTATGAAACAAAGGCTGATCCAAAAAAGGAAAATTCAGAGAACAACAATAAAAAAACCTCTTGAAAACTTAAAGTTGGTATCAGAAATGAGACTTAGAGTGAGCACTAAAAAATAAGGGCAAGGGAATCACCTAGAAAGCATAGCAAAAAAAAAGGGGAAAGCAAAAAGAGATGCAGTGTAGGTGACCTAACCGACGTTAGAGGGGAACAGAGAAGTCATCAAAGAAATGCTACCAGGCGATTTCCCAGGATGGAAGCCCCTATAGGGTTCTTTGCCTTCATGAGCACGTGTTAAGTACTTGGAGTAAAGTTACCCCACCTCAGGCCTCTGTGTCCCTCCTGGCGGGAATAAAGAGAGACTCCAGATCCATTCCCCAACCTACCATGCTCCAAACTCAGCCTGCCCAGCCTTCTAGCCTGGAGCCTCAGGGCAGCCTCTGCATGCACTGGGCCTTGACCTCCCAGGATAGTCCCCGCCTCCTGCAAATTAAATCAATTGAATCCTCCACATCTCTGCATTCCCCCTTTGTCTTCATCTGTTACCTCTTCAGCTCCTGAAAGCTTTTCTTCCCTCTGCTCTCTGAAATGGCCAGTCCACTGGTATCAAGTCTCCTATGTGCCAAACCTCTCAGCATTGCCTTTACGTTTGTGCTCTAATCAGAACCTGTCTGTCCCTTGAAGATACTGCTACCCTAGAGCCCTCTGACAGGGTGGTCCCCTCTCTCACACAGTGCTGATACCACACAGCGTGGGTCCTCTTTGTTTCTTGTTGCCATTTCCAGACCATTCTGCTCCCCCTTCCCTTTTCCTAAAAACCACCTTTGAATCTCAGGTCATCAGGCTGTACTGCTGGGCTTCAGGGTCATACCCTTCTATTTCTGGAAGCTTTTAGTTCCTGGCCTGCTGTCATTGTCTTCAACATTATTCTTGTCAGAATTCTTGGTAATTTTAATAGCTGATCCTTTCAGTACCTCGCCCTCTCGTTTCCTTCCTGGTCCTCCATCTAACCCCAGCCTCTCCTCTGATCAGACCTTAGACCTTGTTGCTACCAAGCGCCTCATCTCCTCTGTGACTCAGCCTGCCCTCTTAGCTCTTTTCATTCTCTTTAGGGTCCTGAGCTAACCGTCCTTCACTTCCTCCGTGCCTGCCTTTCTCCTTCACCCAGCACGAATTCCGTGCTCAATTATTGTAACAGTCCCTTCGATCTTCCTCAACTCCCTTGTCATCATGTTGACTTGGCAAAACCCCACCTCAGACTAAACGCAGTTCTTTGCCTTCTCAGGGCCTGCACCTTCGCTACTGAAAGCAATCAGGAAAACACACTACCGTGCTCAATTGTGTTCATGACCAGTAACTGCAAGTGGGCCCTTGATGCTTCCCGACGGTCATACTACATTTCTAGGGTCCATGTCACTCCCCCACTCCCTAAGACTGCTGTTTCCTAGCTTCTTTCTTCTCAACTCTGGCGTCTCCTTCTCAGTTCTCGGGCTCAGCTGATGATCATTTCTGCACTCTGCTGGGAGAGCAGTTAGGCTCCAGAAAGCCTGGGCGACACATGGAGAAGACAGGTAGAGCCAAACTGGGCCCAGAATCGCTGTGGCCACCTCGTCTTGTCCATCTCCTTTCCAGCTTGCAGTACCTGGTTTACCACTGCCATATTCTCAATCACTAACACTAAGGCACTTCCAACTCTAAGGTTCACCCACTTAACAACCCACTCTGGTTCCTCATTCTGTCTTGGCCAGTGTTCAGTTGCTGACTGTAGATTCACCTTCACTAGCTTAAGTGCAAAAAGATTTGTTGCATATTCTTAAGTTAATTTACAGAATTTCTAAGAGGGAACCAAGGTAGAATGTCATATAGGCAGAAGCCAAGAAAAATAACCAACAATGACAGTACCAAATGGTTATAGTGGAAACCCAGCAGTTGCTGGTGTCTGCTACTGGACTGTCCTCTGTCCCCATTGAAGAGAGGGACTGGACCATCAGGAGGTTTCTACATATTCTGGATAAAAAGCAAGTCCCACACAACTATTTTGGTAGGAGACCATAGGGCACCATGATCTGCCATCTTCTGCAAGCGTGTACCTGCCACTGAAATTGGTTATATGTGTACATCTGTGTAGCAAGGGCTTCTGGGAAATATTTTTTGGATTCTACCTGGGGCAAGTGAGATTTATAGGGTGGAGAAGTCCTAAAATGAGAAAAAGATTTTCAAAATATTTTGGGCAGATATCTGTTAGAGGGACAGAGAGGATTGAAATGACTAAGGGATGCACTCTACTCGTGGGCGGGGAAAATCAGTACCATCAAGATTTCAACTTTTGCCAAATGAATTTATAAGTTAAAAGCAATTCCAACAGAAATTGCAAAGGGGATTGTGTATGGGACCTGACAAACTGATGCTAAAGTTTATATAGGAGAGCAATGAACAAATGATAACTAAGGCAATTTTGGAGAGCAGGGAGATTTTGTTTTTCCAGATATTAAATATAATGATCATTGAGAACAACAAAACAAAACAAAACTCCAAAAAATCTGAGTTACAAAAATAGATATACTGTAATATATTTGCATGAATTAAAAAATCTAAGCCAA